TAACTTCTCGGTGAGGCATTTATTCATGTCTCTGGTGAAAATGTAGAATGGTACGTTCTGTCACTCACACTATAAAACTACGGGCCACCATGGAGGTTGCGGCAGGGAGGGTGTGTGAGCGAGGTTGGAGTGAAAAGTTTGGGTGGAGCTGGGTCTGTGGCCACAGTGAGACCCTTTTATAGCTCCCGCTCACCACCGAGGGCTGCTTAAAAATTCACATGGTATATTTACACCTTTAACTTGTGACCTGCTGTTTGCTTGTCACTGATTTTTGTTGAGGGAAAAATGAAAATGTCTGTTTTCACAGAATTCATTCAAAGTTCTTTTGTCTCATTTTCCTCCAGATACACTCTGGCAATACAAGAGCCAAATGTATTTTAGTTTATCCTCTTTGAAACAATACTAACTTTAATCTCAGAACAGCGACGGCCCGCAATCATTTACCCCTTCCTCTGGAATGTGAGTTGGTTACTCATTTAAGGAATGCCGAGGTTAATGGAACCTGAGATAACAAGATCTGAGTGAAAAAAACTTGATGAACTCAGCTATATAGCGTTTCTCTGGAGGAGCTGCTTCAGGCTGGATTCATCCCCACCAGAGAGCCTCACCGCTGTATTTTTAGCAGCGGATAGGCGGCAATCATCTTACTCCTTTGGGTGTACAGCTTCCAACTTTCTGGTCACCAAGTTCTTTTGGTTAGTTTCCATGGAAACCAGACAAATGAGTCACTAAACAAGTTCAGCCAATTCTGCTCTCCAGTTTGGGAGGCGAGCCTTGGGTTTCCAGCTCGAGTCCACTCCCCCCACAATAAGGACTGGAAAATGAAAGTGGGGGAGAGTAAATGGAGCTTGGATCTTGGCTTACCTCCCAGTTTTGTTCTTACTTAACCTGCCCTTTGCACCTCCCCCTTAGCCTCAGCTCTCCCACACTCCTCTTTTCTCACTTTTTACCTATCACTCATTTTAACCTTCACTCCTTATTCCTCATAATCGCTTTTCTTTTCCCACAATCCCACACTCCCCTGGCTAGTCTTTTCTGTCACCTCTCTGTAGAACTTGGCCTCGATCTCGCAAAATACATTTGCACACAGGCAGTTCGCAAGAGTAGAAAGACAGAAATTAAAATGATCTTAGCTTATTACCTAATCTGCTTACTGACCGTGGTTTGGAGGGTTAGAGGAAGTTTGATTATCCTGTGGCCAATCTGCTCTCTGGATCTTGCATGGACGATCCATTACTGTAGTCCTACTGTTTTCAGGTCTTCCATTTTTTTTCCCTCTGCACAGGCTCACTCAGACACACCCTTTCCTTTTTTCCACCACGGTCCCTCATTTCTCCCCCATCTTTAGCTCCCAGTGGGAGGAGGCTCAGCAAACTGGGAGCAGTGGATGACTGGCTGACTCACACTCGGCACACCCCACAGATGTGCAGGGTAGAGAGAAACACCAAGAATGTGGGTTTGTGTATAAAAGCAGGAGCTGATTTATACCCTGTCCATGTTAATCCTGCTAACTGTTGTACTGCGAAAAAAGAGAAGAGGCTGAACTTTTTGCTGACCTGTTGTAAGTGACTCATACAGCCTGGTGTAAGCTCTGAATGAAGTCCTGCGTGCCAGCATAAACTGTTTATCTTAACTCTTAATAGCTGCTGATAACCTTTTCAAGTCCTTTTTTTGTTCATTTGAAAAACTTGAAGGAGAAGCAGGAGTTCATAAATTTCTACACTGTGTATGATGCAATGTGACTGCAACACAGTGTCTGTCTCAAACATGTACAGCTTAATCACATTTTTCTGTGTTTGCAACATCTCAGTGTCACCACCTATATAGACTGGAGTATGTGTCTTCTTTGGTCAGCTACAGTGATGTGTAACATTTTTGTCTGTCTTGTGAAACAAGTTTCATATTGCATTTTATTGCTTTTGGAAGGAAAGTTATAAACTCGAACCTGTCAAAATAGAATACTGACATGCCGTAAATACAATTCTAGTGTTACTGTATTCGGTTTGTTTTATTGGACTGTTACTCTCCCTGTGAAAAAGTGCCTTCTAAAGATCAGCTGAGGGTCATCAGACTTCAGTAGTGTTTTTTAATATCGTGCTTTTACATGCGAACCTATGCTTTAACTTCGTGCACGCCCACCTCCAAACGACACAGCAAGGTTGTAGCCACTGATTATGCCACCTATTTGTAAACTGCACATTCTGATGCTTCTACTTTAATTTGATAAACGATGCTATCTTAATCTTTCTAGAACTGGAAGTGACCATATTTAGACCAGAGGGTGGAGTGCTATGTTATGTTGGGCATTCTCCACCACAGGACTTCGATTTCTTCAGAATAATGCTATTAAGAATGTTTCAAAAGGCACCTACTATGGACTGTAAAGAAAGTATGGAGTGTAGAAATTCCTTAAACCGGAATTCTTTCTAATGTCCAGCTGGAGACTGGTTTCCATGTTAAACTGAAACATCACTTACTACTCCTTTTGTGCAAGACTGAAAAAAATAAGCCAGGATTGTCTGATTTAAACAAAATGTGAAAGCCAAATAAGTAAATAAAGGGGTTAAAACATGAAACACTACATGATGTTGCATATTTGACACCAGTAGAAATGTTGCATTTTTCTAAATGAGCTATCAGCCATTACCTATCACTCACTAAATGTTCTCACAGACGTTTTGAACACATCAGTGCCCCTCAAGAGGAAGTTTATCACCTAAACTTCTGAGTACCAAGTTGCATCTGCACTATTTTAACCTGCATACACCAAAGTAACGCTTTGGCATATTCTGAGCTGCCACCACATAGTTTAACATTATAATCAAGCAGCAGTTTCACAGCCCTACCTTTTTTGGAAAAGGGTACTTTTGGCTTCTGTGCTGAGTAAAATATACATATTAGATGAGATGCAGCAGTCACAATACATAATTAAGTATTTGCACACGGCTGAACAGATCCTGGCTAACTTTGTAGATGAAAGACTTTCCTTACTTTCATATGAATTTGCTCACGTGCTTTGTGCCTGACATGTGCACCCTTTTTGCATCTGTGTTAAAATACTGTGTGTAAGTCGGTGTTGTGCCAAAAAGGGTTGTTTTTCCCCTCCGATGTCTCCTGACATATTTTTCTCTGACCAGTTCAGTTTTGGCTGTTAATTCTGCAGTGGGGTCTGGCAGTAGCAAGACTAACACACTTTGTAGAGTTATGTTAGAATATCACAAGATAACTTGGTGCCGCCTCAGCACCCTGAACTTCAAGGCCTTTCCCACGACTCTCAGTATCAGTGTGAATGAATGAAATTAATGCTTTTGTGATTTGAATTCTAACGTTTGCAAAGTGAAAATAGTATTTTTCATGTATTCTGTCCAAGGTCTTTCTTTTTTTAGTGAACATGATTCATTAAAGTGAACTGTTGGTGTATTTTTCTGCTGCTATCTTGGGGTCCTACTGAAGGATTGCAGGCTAGAAAACAGGAGGTGCAGGTCTGGTGCATTTCTCCCACTCTTCCCAGCCCCTAATTTTCAATGGGTTTTCTGGAATTCCTTAGCGCTCTCTGGTTTGTCTGCTAAACTTCTTTCAGCTAGGCCATGAATTCCCTGGCTGCAGAGGTTAGCAGGCCCTCTAACAAAGGCTCAGACTGTCCGAGAGGACACTTTTACAACAGTTGGTAAGACTGGCACAAGGAGCTTCTCACAGCAGCCATGCTGCCACACACACTTTGCACCACAACAGCTTCGGGGGACTGGCAACTAGCACAAATCTGAAGATTCTGCCTTGTTGACAGCTGCAGTTGAGAAAGCAATCTGGATATAAATCTGGCAGGAAGATTAATGGTGCCGTCTGTGGAATGCTGCAGTGCAAAAACGTGACATTGCGATGATGAACGGGGCACTGATTTGTGATTTGTGTGTAATGAACCACAGCAGTTCAAAAACATTCCTAACCAATTATAAAATCTGTTGCAACTCACATTTCTATCGGCAACGCACCAGAAGTCGTTAACATAAACTGATGCAGTGAATCAGCTGATTCCAGACGAGAACAGTTTGTACCACAGCAGCTTCAGGAATTAGACTGATGCGAATGTAAATAAACCGGGACAGAGGACTTCACTGAGCTGCTTGGACATGGCATGGGAATGGCTGCCTTCTGCCTATAACTGGACAAGGTTAAAGAACTGCAGGTCACAAAGTGAATTTCTCAGAAGCTGAAAGAATTTCCTGCAGACTCTGATGTGTGGGAAGTTGATGGCTGGATGCCAGACAGCCATTGGTGTATGTGAATGGCAGTGAACCTTTTTTTCCCCCCCCAAATGTATGTTGAACATATATTTTGAAATTTCACAATTGTAAATATTGCTTGTCAGTATATTTTAAAACCAATATTTTACTATAAAGCTACATTAGCACAGGCCCATAGAGATTTAGAGAGGTAACTCCTCCCAGGAAAAAAGTAGTCCAGCACATGACCTCCTGTTAATCTGAAATTTGAATCGAAGGTTTTGGTTTAATGTATGTGTAAATGATTTAACATGTCAACCTAGTGAAGTATGGAGGTGCTGGTGCTTGGTCAGGCTGTTTTTTTATGCTAACCTAAGCTGAAAGTTTGTTATAGCTTCCTTTAACACATGGATAAAGGCATTATATCTCTTGACAAAGAAGCAGTAGACATATCTCTAAACTGTTGAACTATTAATTTGTTTTTTAAAGATTATTTTGGGGCATTTTTGCCTTTATTTGACAATGGAGCAGTAAAGACAAGCAAGCAGAAAACAGGCAACAAAAAGCTAGGCTGCTGTACTCCAGCCATGTGGCATACTGTCATCTGCTCACCCGCTGAGCTACACTGGCTCCTCTGAACTAATAATTTAACAGAATAATGAAATAATACATAAGTCTTATCAGTTTAATCAATGGGTTTCTATGAATATCAGTCAAAGCAATGGTTGATATGCTTATTTTGCCCTTAAAAGAAAAGCTGAAGACATTGACAGAAAGCAATCAAAATAAAATGTTGCCATTTAATTTTTTTCATAGTTGTTTTTCTTTCAGTTGTTTTTAACTAAATGTCAGATTTTCAGTGGATCCGATCTCCTTGCTCTCCTTGCTCTCTGACACCACTTTGCCGTCCACCACAGTCTGAGTGACCGTCACCACTTGGATTTTCTTTAGGTCAACTGCATCTTCAAGGCTGGTAGAATGACGAAATATAAAAAGGTTAGTCATACGGAGACAGAACAGAAATATATTTTCCACCTTTGAGTGATCTTTTCTTTGACACGATGAAATTGAGCAGTTGAAATTTAAATGATGGTAATAGGATTACATAGACACAGGTCAGTGACATCTGCTTTCCATATCATTGCTGCTCCATGTTTGCATGAGGCTGCTTTAAATCAAATTTGCAAATGCTCCCCCGAGATGAAGAAGGCTTCTGTCTCATTGAGCGTATGTTGCATCCATACTTTCTGCTGCTTCACCTTAATACTCACTTTAAGTCTCCTTCACCATCCAGCAGCCTTCTGTACTCTGCAATCTCAGCCTCCAGCTTCACCTTGATGTTGAGGAGGGCCTCGTACTCATTCGTGTTTTGCTGGATGCTGCTGCGGATCTGTGCCAGTTCCTCCTGCAGACTCAGGATTATCTCATTGTATTTTTCCAGCTCTAAATTGTAACGCCTCTCAATGTCATGAAGGGCAGCCTCCAGGGACGCTTTCTGTGAAGAGATTAAGGAAAAGCACCATTGTAAAAACTTTGTGGCTATCTTGCATTAGGTTAGTCTGGGCAATTGATATGTGTTAAACAGGAACACAAAGCTAGAGTCAGCTTCATGGTTTAGCCTAGAAATGAAAAATCTTGCATATAAAATTATGTACCAGCACTTCTGACAACCTGTGAAAAAATGCAATTAGTGAATTTTCGATGTGCTGATTGGTGAAATTTATTGTTTTTGAACAGAGCTAGGATCAACTTAATTTTTTTCTTGGCTGTAATGCCTGTCATACTCTGGAATTGCCAGGTGTGAACCAGGCTCAATCTATGAGAAGACCTAATGATGAGTATTTATACTAAGGGAAGGGTCAAATCTCAACCCAGAACTGGAAACTAATGACGTAACCAAGACTTACCAGACTATGTGCAGACTGGAGCTCAATTTCCAGTGCCTGATGCCGCCTCCTAGTTTCAGTCATTACACCTGCGGCCTCCTTCAGGGCTGTTGAGCTCTCTGTGACTTTGACCTGCACCTCTGTGATCTTAATAGAAGATTATATACATAAAGAATTTACAAATACTGTTCAACTCACAGTCAAGTAAAAAAAAAGAAAAAGATGTTTTTCACCAGCCTAGTTTAGCTGTACCTGGGAGTTATGCCACGCTTCAAGCTCCTGTTGGTTCTGTAGCGCTATCTTCTCATACTTTGCTCTTATTTCCTCCATGATTCTGGCCAGGTCCTGTCCTTTTGGTGCATCAACATCCACATGGACCCCAGCCTGTGCGATTTGAACTCGCAATTCATCAACTTCCTGTTTGGGAGGAAATAGTCAGGGAGTGATTTCCTGAACATTTGGTTAATAGGATTTTCCTGTGCTAAGTGGTTAAGGAAAAATTTGTTTTAAAGGTGCACTGTACTGTATTGGGGTTATCAGATAGGTTTTTCTCTTTGAACTGCTCTGCTGAACTTTACAATGATTGCATACTCTCTCGTGGTTCTTCTTCAGGCTGATCAACTCCTCCTTGAGGGACTCAATTTCACTCTCCAGGTGCAAGCGAGTAACATTGGTGTCATCCAGGATCTTCCTCAGTCTTGAAACATCAGCCTCCACTGTCTGCCTCATGGACAACTCATACTCATACCTATGGAGACGGAGTGAATGCTAGATCTGCTCATGCTGGTGAAGAGATTACCTTCATTTTGCACAAAAATCTCGACACTCACTTGGTTCGGAAGTCATCTGAAGCCAGACTTGCGTTGTCAAGACTGATAGCATACTGGGCATTTGCCCTGGTCATGTCAAGAATCTAAAAAACAGCAATGGTATTTTTGGTGACATAACTGTATGAAGAGATCGTTTTGGTGGAAAGCAAACTGTGACTTTCAATTTGATGAGTTGCAAATGGTTGATACTGCTTAGCGATAGGAGCCCACAGGTAATAAATGTTGTGAAATCAGGTATTCAAGCGATATCTAGGACACTATAATAATAAAGTTTATGTGTTAACAGTGACTCGATTGAACGATAGTATGTGGCATTTACAAGAAAAGAGTTGTAGTTGTTGTTGTTCTGGGTTCGTTTAACATTCTGAAAAAACTGAAATGCAAGAAAACTACAACTTAAGAATCATTTGTGAGAACTAGTATACCATAGCTACCTAAACCAATCCAGTCTTTAAGTGATGACCTGATGAAACCTGATTCCAGGCCCAAAGTACTCTGCGTTTAATAAGGCTGTTGTGTTTTAACATGTTTTAATGCTTTGTTTCTTGTTAGATTTCACCTCAACAAGCCCCTAAAAACAGTCGGTAATCACTGTCGGCCTCTCTCGGTTTTTATTACCGCTATTCATTTTAAAGCTCAGATTTTAAAACCTTACGATCTAACTACAGCCCAGCCCATGCAGTAGTATATTAATAACTAACCTCGTGTTGAGGATGGATTGTCTCAGTTGTTCTCCTGAATGAAGTTTGGTCCATGCCATGCAAATGCATTTGTCCCTAACCACCGGGAACCCTCACGTTAACTTTTATCGAGTGGAAAAAAGTTAGCGTTCATCCTCCAGCTTCACTGTTTATAATATGCTAACATAGCTGTGTCGCTAGCAATCACGTAGCATATCATTATATACCAGCTAGTGCAGGGGTGTCAAATTCAAATACACGGTGGGCCAAAATTCAAAACTGGAACAAAGTCGCGGGCTAACGTTAATATTTATTGAAAAAAAAATCTTCCTCCAGATATAAGAATGAATCTTATTTTTACTCTTTTTATGGACTCAAACAAGTTTTGCTAAAAAACTGAATATGGAACAAGCAAAGCTTAATACTAAACAATATATATATTAGCTGTATAATACCAGTAGGCCAGCTCTAATAGTAATTTGGTATGGCTTCGCGGGCCAAATGTAATTAGGCGGGCCAGAGTTTGACACCCATGAGCTAGTCCAACTTCATTAACCTTACAAACATCATTGCTGTTTACTTTTCTGTCTTCATTTATGTTGGAAGTTACGGAGCCCCGCAGGGGACATGGGAGAAAAAAAATTAAGACGGACTTTTGCAAGATCTCACAAAACAAACTCGGGATCTCACAAAACTTTTGCGAGATCTTGCAAAAGTCTGTCTTCATTTTTTTTTCCTCCCATGTGCCCTGCGGGGCTCCGTAGGAAGTGATAGCAAAACTGTACATTTTAATTTGTTTTGGAAATCTCTCAGTCAGGACGTGGTATATTATATTTAGATGGAAACTAGCGAGCTAACTTCCTGCTAACTTCTAACTCTGCTAAATGTCATAAATTTGGTTTTCATGGATACCTGGATGTTAAACTTAATTGTTACACCTGGTAGAGCAGAACGCTGATCATTTTATTACAGATGAAAGAATTTAGACAGTTTTTAACTCTCAGTGATGCTGCAGTGATTGTGTGAATTACGTACCTGCAGCAGAGTTTGGGCCCTGGCACAGCTAATCACGGCAGACTTAAAGACCGGATACTTAATCAACTAATTTCAGACCATTTATTTTGAGGACATTTCAGATTCTGTGAAAATTTTTATTACTCTAGAGCCCTTAGATGCCTAGACTATCATCTAGATTAAATGTTTCGTTGGCTCACCTGGGCCCTGAGGCCTTCAATGATAACGTAGTACTTGCTGTAGTCCCTCCCTTCCAAGGGGCCTCTATTCTCGGTGGCCTCTCTGATCTTGACCTCCAGCACTGCATTGGCCTTCTCCAGATTCCTCACCGTCTCCAGATAGTTCGCCAGGCGGTCATTCAGGGACTGCATGGCATGCTTCTCGTTTCCAATGCCCATGGCGCTAGAAGTGGATCCAGAGGACAAGGACTGGTAGTCGTATCCTCCGCCAAAACCGCTGCCAACACGCGAACCATAGCTGGCACTGGAAATCTTGGTTCCACGGCCGCCTGCCCCTCCAGTCACACTGTGGGCGTAGGTTTCCATCCGTAGGGATCTGGGACCTCCAAGTGAACTTAAACCATAATTTTGAGAAGACTGGCGTCTAAGCTCCATTGGTAAAGGAAGTGTGCTGATCAATCAGAGTGAGAAATGGCACTGAGGAGAGTGGCAGCAGGGTGGAGTATGAAGGTGGAGTCTGAGGCCTTATATACAACTCTGAAAAGCAATATTTCTTCCTGAAACTCCTCTCCTATCTATATTAAATTGTTACCTTTGACCTTCTTGCTTAGACTTTGTCCTCCACCCACTCACTTCACAGGTAAAAAGTGTACTGACATTTTCATTTTGATAGTGTGGAAATAAACTGATAACCTGATATGACTCTCAGTGGACACAGTGAGGCTGGACATGTTTTATTTTATTTTATTTTATTTTGAGAGGGGGCAACAAATCTGTTTAAAAATGTTCTCTTTACTATAGATGCCCCCTGCAGTACTATAAATAAATAGAAATATATATTTGTTACACACCATTGGATTGCACCTAACACCCACCCCCCAAAAGATACATGTATTACAAACAAGTATAGTGTAGTTACAAATTGAGCATGAAAAACACTGTGGGAGAGGGGAGTATACTGGTAAAGGAACATGAGCCCTTCTCAGGTCAGATTACACCTAATCTGAAACTTGAAAGCTTAATCTTTTTTTCTTGAATGGCTGTGACGCTGTTTTACTAACACAATCTTATTTTATTGGCAGAAAAAACACCTGGCCCAAGCACTTAAAACCATGTGGTAGATCTCACTACAGCAGGTGTCACCATGACTACAAAACAAACGCGCACGCACAACCTCGCAAGTTGAGGATATCAGTTTCACAAACATGACTGGTACGAATGTATTAGCTTGTGTTGGCTGTGGCATGCTTCATTATGTGCCAAAGAAAAATAATCCAGGAAATGTAGGAAGAACAGGCGGATTTGATAAGGCACAAGCTAAAACACTGCACAGAATTTAAAATACTACTAGTAAGACTATTAATAATAATGTAAGCCTTCCAAATTTGCAAGGCAGACAATATGTTTACTGTGTCAAGAATAAATAATCAATCAAAACTGGTTGGTTTTACTATGCAAGGTTATTTGGTCATAGCGTTGGCTATTAATAGGCTATTAGAGTTTTTAACCCTGCAAAGTGATTGCCATGCCAATATCCATAAGCCTTAATGCTAATTGCTAACTATGCAGTTTAATCTAACAGAGCTGTATATCGAGATAGAAATAAACTGAGAAGTGAGTTTCCATTTTCACACATGCATGAAAAATGATTTTAAAGGCTTGGTTAAGTTAGCAGTTGGCATTAAGTTAGCAACTTATTTCACATTTACAGTTCGGTCGTTTAGTGTTTCGGTGACCCGACAATGTTTTTTAAACCTCCACAGTGGATTTTAAATCAAACAACCAAGATAAGATTGAGGGGCAGTCTTTCAGCTTTAATTCAAAGGATTTAAATATTTCATTAATTGTTTAGAAATTACAGAAATTTCTTTTTAAACATAGGATTTCATATGATTTGATGTGTGTTGGATCGTGAGCGGTTCATTTCTTCTCTGTACTTTTCTCATCCCATCATTGTAGTGCATTTTAATCTTGGTCCATCCTCTTCTTGAGAATCGCAGCATCTCTAACCCTTACTCTCCCCCTAGCACAATTTTTCACAACTTTATGTTGCACATTTTTCTGAAAGTGTTTTTATAATAATCAGAAAATAGAATAGCCTTTTATTGTCATTGTACATGTACAACAAAATTGTGGGTGCGCTACACCAACCGTTCATGGAAAAATAAAAATAAAAAATTAAATTAAATTAAAAATAAAAACAGCAAGACAGTAAGACTGAATAACAGACAAGAGGAAGACAGTTACCCTAATTTGACGTTCTTCCAGCTTTTCCTTTTTACTCCCACTTACTCTTTTGGTCTTGTGTTATCCCTGTCCCAACTTCTTTTGAGACAATTTTTCTGCTGGTGTCAAAATCAAAATAAGTGACCATTTCCTTAAAATGCCATAGTTTCTTTCTTTCTCTCTTTTTGTTGGGATTTGGTTTGTACTGTCTGAGATGCAGTGAGTCTATAGGCTGCAGTGTGCATTAAAACCTAGCTTAGTTGATGTGGTACTCATAAACAGCATCAATTAAAAGCTGGAAAGTCAACGAATGGTAAGTGAACTAAATAGTCCTTTCTGGGAGAGACTTGGTGCTTGTATGTTTCCAGAGAAAAGTCAAAAGCAATTGGTACATTAAAAAGACCAGACGCTCATCTGAAGCAGTAGATGCTTAGACCTAGAACAAGGGCTACTACAATGGGTTAGTTTCAGAACGTAAGCACTGGCACCAACTTTCACAGGTGTGGGGATATTCTTACTTTGGTGATTCATAAAAGGCACAAACCGTGACAGAGAGGGAAAGTTGTGGTGCACTCACACACAGTATCTATAATTATATCACAAGAAAAGTCAGACACTAAGTTGTAAAAGTAGGAATTATCTTACATTTGGATTCATAATAGTACTGCAAAAGGCAGCGATATTAATCCAGTGTACAGGTATATGATGAATAACAGGAGCGAAGGTCAGTCTCCATCAGACTCTTACTTAGGTTTGCTAGTTATTTCACTATGCTACCATCAGCTGAATAATTAGCTCAAGTTTGGTTGTTACTGCAGCAACCCTAAATACTCTAAACAGTCCAAGCTGTATAACTTCAAATGCTAAATGTTGTAAAAGTCCGTCAGTACAATTCAGCTGAGGGGTTCAGTGAACGCTTTGGAAGAGCCTGGAGCTCAATTATGCGAACAATGTTGTTATGTTATTCTTATCTCCTATTCCCATCCCCCTTTTTATGTTATTAATATTTTTAAGCTGCTTCAGTGTGTGTTAATGGGAACAGGGGTTTGGGATTCCTGTTTACTTGTCTGCTCAGCAGACTAAACAAATCTGTATCTCGAGCGATTTCTGAATGAACAAGACGCCATGATAGCAAGTATAATTTCAGATGGACTTTATTGAAATGTCTGAACACAACAGCAAAGCAGGCAGACATAACTGGACAGAAAGAAAACAAAAAAGATGATGAAATATAAAAATAATTTCATTTTTTCTGAGAATTTTATGACTTTGAAATAACGTCTTGAATCTTTTTGTTTTTTTGAAAAAGTTCTCCAATTTGAAACTTTTGTAAACATCTGCATGTCGACACACAAACACATAAATAACTCATGATGAAATAAATAAAAAATGATTTTGTTTTCTTTTGATCCAGTTTTTTTTAGCAGCCTGTGGGAGAGCTGTATACCCAGGAAGTAAAACTATTGGTAGAGACGGCTGAAGGGTCTTATTGTTGTTAGTACTCTATCACTAAGAAGCAAAGAGGTAAAATTTGACCAGTTGTATGCTAGTGTTATAATGCTGTGACAGTGACTGGTGAGAGAATCAGCTGCTTGCTCCTTGTATTCAGAGGTTCTTTGTCTCTGTGCTGGAGGACACCACCTTGCCGTCCACCAGCGTCTGTGTGACGGTCATCACTTTTTTGGTCTTAGTCACTGTTGTTTTCTGCTCTTCCAGAGCATCCTGGAGCCTAAGTAAAAACATTAATACTCAGTTAACTTCCAGGTAGTTTCTACTTTTAGACTTCTAAATGATAGGAAAACTATCCTACGCACTTAAAGTCTCCACCGTCCAGCAGCCGTCGGTATGTTGCGATCTCAGCCTCCAGCTTCATCTTTGTATTGAGCAGGGCCTCGTAATCCTGTGTCTGCAACTGGATTTTGCTTCGCAGCTGTGTGAGCTCTGCCTCCAGGCCCAGGATGATGGTGTTTAAAGACTCTATCTCCATGTTGTAACGGAGCTCCGTGTCCCTTAGCGTGCCCTCCAGAGAGGCTTTCTGTAAGCGACAAGAAGGGGTTACATTTTTACAGTGGACTCAGATTAGCGATGACAGCTCCATAGAGACAAATCACCGGAGTGCAACGCTTGTGTCAACAGAATACACCCGAGAGACTTGAAGTGAGAGTGCTGAGTTGGGCAATGTGGAGAGTTCAGATAAGCGTGTTTAGAGGTAAATGAGGGGCAGACTGCTCACCAGACTCTTCTGTGATTCCAGTTCAATCTCCAGCGTTTGTATCTGTCTGCGCAGTTCGTGCACCTCTGTCTGGGCACCCTTCAGGGCCTCTGTGTTCTGGGTCACCTGTGTCTGCACTTCTGTTATCTGATTGAGGTTAAAAGACAAGTTAGTCAAGAGTTTATTTATTTACATTTTTTAACTTAATTTGTTTTTGCTAATGGTTTACCTGAGATTCATGCCATGCTTTCAGTTCTTCCTGGTTCTTCTTTGCCATCTTCTCATACTTGGCCCTGATTTCTGCCATGATCTGAGCCAGATCCTGGCCTTTAGGAGCGTCGACATCCACGTGGACTCCAGACTGGGCGATCTGGTTACGAAGCTCGATAACTTCCTAAAGAAAAAAAGAAAGTCAATAGAAAGTCACTCTTATTGTTTACCTTACCTAACTACTTCCAGGTCTATAGAATACTTCTTAATTCTTTTTCATTCTACTGCTTGAACTGAGTCATGACCCAGCGGTGACCCTTAGCCTCTATCCAACCATAATCACACGCTTCGGTCAGGCAAATATACAGGTCTGTGCCTGAGTCCCTTAACACTTAATTTAATATTTCCCTCAGTAAACAAATGGTTGTGTTTTGGCTTATGCACTCAAATCATAGTCATTTGAAATCTTTGGAGCTTTCTCTGTTGCCAATTGTGGCTGGGAACCATTTTTACGATGAGGCTACCCACAGATCTCACATACAGATATTTCAGATTTCTTAAGCAACCTCTGCATTCCCAGCAAAGTTTTCTAAAGACTGTTTTCCACAACATCCCACTCAAGGAGGTGTAGGCTGTAGTCGTGGCTTTCACTGCATGTGGAACTTAAGCACATATGGTTGCAATGAGAAGGATTAATGAGATGAACAGATCTGCAAATAATATGTATATAATTATGTATCTTTCTGAGTTCGACTAAGTTGAAAGCAGCACAAATATAGCCTATAGACCTGAATTAAATATTTTATTTTTGAAATAAGTTAAAGTAATCAAACTCACATTTTCATGGTTTTTCTTGAGGTGGATGAGCTCCTCCTTCAGTGCTTCGATCTCACTCTCCAGGTTCATGCGGGTCAAGTT